GTTATGAACTAAACGAAAATGGAGATGGGAAGTGTGATTTGGCCAAGGTCCTATAGCAGCAAGACAGGACTTGACATCCTAGCTGTTGCCTCCTGTTTCCCTCTCCTTCCACTTGCCTTTGTACCAGCTGCATCCTGGGCTCTCTCCACCCATCTGCATGGCCATGCCTAAAACATATCCCTCTTGGGAGAGGTGCAATCCACTGGCATGGAAGCCAGTGGGTTGGCTCCCTCACTTTATCCTTCTCTTTCCCCGCCCCCTGCTGTGCTCTGGAAAGGGCGGCAGGAGGGAATGTGGGCATGTTGCACCAGAGATATACATCTGAGAACTGAAGGGAACATTTATTTTTAATTTGATTTAAAAAGAAAAAAGGAAGTTATAAAATATCTGCTCTTGCTCCTGGGAGTGTACAGATGGTTCTACATTTTGCTTAATAGGGAATGGAGTTGGCACCCTTGGGCTTCTGCTGCCCACCCCCTTAATTGTAAGAGCCTAGAGGATTGGATTCCTGATTCCGTTGACACACCTCAAATGGTTCCCCAGGGCCCCTTTAGACCAGTTCAGTTTGGTGTTCCGCTGCCTTCTAACCTCACCCTTTCATACTCCTCTCTCTTGGTTTCCCAAACCTTCAGTCAGGACAGTCTCCCGACTCCCCCAGCTCCCATGTACACACACATGTTCAGCTCAATCCTACCTCTTCCTTCTGCCAATAGCCAGGTCAACACTGACCTCCCCCTTTGTGAATTCTTGCTCAGATGTTCAAATTTAACAGCTGTCCATACGCCCAAGAGGAATCCTGGGGTGCAATGGGAAAGCAATAGACAGCTAAGCAAAAGGTCAGCAGTTTGAGCCCACTGGACCCTGGGCCGGAGGAGGATGTGGCAGTCTGCTTCCCTAAAGATCGCAGCCTTGGAAACCTTACAGAGCAGTCCTACCCTGTCTTAACCAGTCGCTGTGAGTCAGAATCAACTCAATGGCCATGGTTTCAGGAGCCCTGTTGGCTCAGTAGTAAGTGTTTGGCTGCTAGCCAAAAGGCTTGTGGTCCTAACCCACTAGCTCTTTAGGAAAAAGATGAGGCAGTCTGCTTCTGTAAAGGATACAGGCTTGGAAGTGCTATGGGGCAGTTCGATTATGCCCTAAGTGTCACTATGAATCAGAATTAACTAGACGATTATACCCTTTTACACACACCCAGGTACTTAATTAGACTGTGCATTTTCATGCCTAAGTGTTATAAAGGCTGTTCTCATGCATTTTCCTGTCTGTGTTTGTGTTTGTTGTGGTGAGGGGCCATGTATTCCTCTCTTCTTGTATCATTAGTGGGAGCAGCACAGAGCTGGTCTATAGAAGATGCTTGATAAATGGGTGTAGAGTGTTGGATGCCCTCTTTCTGTGTGCTCAGGGGAAAAGCTGGAGAAGAAAGTTACTAAGTGCTGTCGAGTCAGTTCTGACTCATAGCAACCCTGTATAGCACTTCCGAGGAGCGACTGGTGAGCTTGAACTGCCAACCTTGCAGTTCAAACCATCCTTACAATCCAGTGCATTAACCCACAGTGCCACACCAGGACTCCGCCCTAAAATTAAGGAAGCCAGGACTTCCAAACCAGAAATCAGGAGAACTAATTCTAGCTTGCTATGAAGCCTTGGGCAGATCACTAAACTTATTCAAATCTGTTTTCCATCTGAAAAATATGTAAAGAAATCTCTCTTTTGTCTGAACCCAAGAGTTAGTATGAGGATTATGGTATGTGACCTATGGGGAAATGCTTGACAATATCAATATCTCACAAGAAAACAAGTCAGAGGTGCTGGCAAGGATGGATGCCAGGCCAGGTGACTGGCTGGGGTTGTCAGGCAAAGTGAGAAGCTCACTGGTCACAGAGCCATGTGAGGTATGTATGTAGTCCATGAATATAACCTGGGTACGTGTTCCGTTTATTTAAGGTTCTGGACTATCCTCGGAAAGACCTGATACCCATTATAAAAATAATATGCCACAAAGATGAAAATGAGGTCAAAGGAAGGTTAGGGAAAAGAAGATAAGAGGGAGCTAGGAGGGAGATTCGGGCACATGATACATGCAGTGAAATCTGTATACTTGGCAGGCATGGGCCGTGGAGGTATGGCCTAGCAGTCCAAACAAAGAAAGACACAGTGGAATGTTTCTGTGACTGCAAGACTGATACAAAACAGTTGTTCAGAAGTAAAACTGCTGACCCTGAGAAGCTATAAAACAATTTCTGCTAAGTGGATTTATAAAAGGGACTCAATCTGTAATATATTGAGCAATGTCCTGAGCAACAGTTGTCTGGTAACTACAGTGAATCCACAGGATATTGATGTTCCTGTGGTTCTAGTATAGTTCTGGGGGTGGAGTAGGGAATGGAGGAGACAATGTATAATGTATGTCACATCCAGATATATAAGCGGACAGATTAGGGGGCTCATATGAAAAGTCCCAGACAATGGACAAGCACTTTGATCTCTTCACTTTTTGGAGGCCATCACCCACGCATATATACACTTACCCCTCTGTCTTGGTTCTCTAGATCTTCTATAACAAATACCACAGTGGATGGCTTTAACAACCAGAATGTGTTCTCTCTCAGTTGAGATGGCTAGAAATCTGAGTTCAGAGGGTCAGCTCTAGGGGAAGACTGTCTGTATTTGCTCTGGTGAAAGATACTTGTCTACTTTCATCATCTGTAGGCCTGACCCTCCTTGGAAATTTCCATGTGTCTTGGCATCAGTCTTCCCCTGTGTCTAGGGATTTCTCAGTACAGGGACTCCAGGTCTAAAGTGCGTACTCCACTCCCCTCCCAGCTTTTCTTTCTTGGTGGCAGTAGGTTCCTCTGGTCTCTGCTCACTTCTCCCTTCTTTTGTTTCCTATAAGATAAAAGGTGTTGCAGGTTACACCCCACAGAAACTCACCTTACATGGGTTAGGGCTGTGAAGGGATTAAGGGCTTTATATCCCACCCTTAATCCTCTTACAACTAACAGACTTATCAAATCAGATCACATCATGGGGGATTGTTGTATATCTGCCAAACCAAAGAATCATGATCCAGCCAAGTTGGCATATATTTTGTGGGGACACAGTTCAATCCATGACACCCTTCATCCTTTCTCAATTTATTATCCCAGCTTCAGGCCTCGCTCGGCTCAGCTTCAACTCTGGTCTGGCCTCTGACTGGAAGGCCAACAAGAAGGGACATGGACTCCTTCTTAGCATGGGTGATCGATGGTATTACAGACAATGTTGACTTCACACCTGCCATGTGACAACAGAATTTTATACCTAGCTAGGACCTCTAAAGTCAGTCTTGCACTCTGTAAATAAGACTGCTAGAGCCTCAACAGAGACTGCCTTCTGCTAGAGCTCATACTGAGAAGCTAAGACCTAAGGTCTCCGGACCTCACTCTTGTACTCTTAAGTTGACACTGCAAAGGGAATTGACTTGGAGTCTCATTCTGGGAGAAAAGTTTTCTAAGATAACTTTTCATTAGAGCTATGGAGGAACTTTATATTATATAATTTTATTCAATCTGATATGGGCCAATAAATATAAATGTGTGTGTATGTTCACTGTTTTAAAACATTTTAATGTTTAAAACATGATTTACTAATGCTGCTGGGATGTCTAGAGTTTGATTTACTGCATAGTATTGAATGTTTATACTTGTTCCTTGCAGAAATCTTTGCCAAAGAGCCATTTTATCTACAGGAATAATAAATAAGTCAATATGTGTATGGCTGTGTTCATTTTTTCCATATGTAGCATTACTTGGTAAATGTTATTTTATAGACAAATGCTCAAACAGTAAAATAGGGAGACACACATGATCCTTGAAGCCCAGTGTCAAGATCAAACAATTAATCTTGACTTAAACAAAATAAATAAAAATCAGTGAGTCTAGATCTTAAGTGATATTTAGACTTTGGGAAATCCACACAATATATAACCATACTTAGCCTCATGTGTATGGATATTCATTCATTCATTCAATATTTATTAGGAATTAGATGGTGAGGCACTGCGGGTTAATGCACTAGACTACAAAGTCAGTTTGAACAGCAAGGATGGCGGTTCAGACTAACCAGCTGTTCCTTGGAAACCCTGTACAGGGTCACTGTGAGTTGGCACCTACTCAGTGGCACCTAACAACGACAACATTTCATTTAGTAACTTCAACATGATGTTGGTTTTTGCTTTATGGAGACTCTGAGATAACAGATATAAATTCCCTCAATTTAGTAGTTGAAAAACAATTAAGGTCTTTGAAATGATTTTTATTAAATCCTTATAAATATCCTATTGGATAGCTTAGGGCATGATAGAGCCAGTTACCTGAATGGAAGAATACATAGTCCTTTCATTGGCTTGTTGGTTTTATTGCCTTTCCTCCCCTGATTATGGAAATAATACATGCCCATTGTTGAAAAGAATGCAGAAATATTTTAATAGGATCTGAGAAAGTATCCTGTAACTTGACGTCCAACGCTAACAGTTGGCATGCTGGGCTATAGGTCTTTTCAGGCTTAGAGATGTGTGTATTTGTGTGTGTTGTATACATGGCTATACATAGACCAACCAGACCAGTTAACTGTCAAGTCCATTCTGACTCATGGTGGCCCAGGTGTGTCAGAATAGAGCTGTGCTCTGTAGGATTTTCAACGGCTGATTTTTGAGAAGTCACTCTCCAGGTCTTTCTTCTGAGGTGCCTTGGGTTAGAGGCCGAGAACATTAACTGCTTGCACCACTCAGGGAAGATTATGTATCAGATGTTTTTCTTTACAGAAATGGGATTTTGCTGCACGTCCTGTTCCACAATTTGATGATTGTTTTTATTATTATTATCTTACTGTGGGCATGTTCCCACATCAGTTTGTTTAGATCCACCTCTCTCTCATTCATGGCTGTGTGATTTTTCTTTGCAAAATGTTGGATTTTGTTGCTGTTGTTAATTGCATATTCAACCTTTTTTTCTGTCTCATAGGTGGTTGGTCTTCTCTTGCCCAACCAGACGCTGGCCTCTACTGTCTTCTGGCAGGTAACAGTCCCCCAGCAAGCAGGACTCCTGGAAGAAGGGCCCAAGCAAGTGCTACCTAAGAACTCCTTGGCCTCGTGGCTCGTGCCCTGCCAGGCTGCTGGGCTAGGGTCATCCCACTTGCAACTTGTTCCCTATCCCAGGAGCCACAGGGGAAACTCCAGATCCTTGGGTCTGGCTAAGCAGGCCTGTGTGGCCCAGTACATGTTGGTACATTAGATGTCACTCCAAGCCTTGGACAGAAGCATTGAGGGTTGACCTAGACCATGACAGGTTGTTGGTGACCACCCCACTCTGTCCATTAGCTGCCTGTCCCACTGTCAGTGACCCCAAGACCTACCACCTCATTTTGGTATCAGCCTTCTCCAATCCATAGGGAAGTGAAGCCCACCCTAGGTAGTGAAATGGGTGAAAATGCATCATAGACCCTGTGTCTGTTCTTTGCGACATTCAGGGTTGTGGCCCCTGATAATAACTGAGACTGTCTCTCTGTGTGTCAGTGCAGCGACAGAGCCAGGAAGAAAAATGTGCCTATCTCCGGTAAAATTCCTAACAGTGTCCACGTTCAGGCACTGAAAATAGTGCAGGACAGTAGGCAGTGTACTTTTAAAAGAGGTTCAGGGCTGTCAGTCATTCCAGGGGCCTGAATGCCCACTTCTTCCCAGCAGACCCAAGCAAGTGCCACAAAAAGAATGACCATCCAAAACAGTGGCTCTGATCTGGGCAGTGATGCCATGATTCAGGAGAGGATAGGGGTGGTGGGACCCTGATTTTCCAAGTGCTGAGGGGGTTTCTTGGGACTCCATACACTCAGTGCTAATACCAGACAGTCCCAGGAGAACTGGGATAGCTGGTCACAGTAACTAAGGGGATGGATGGAATCAGTTGTGAGCTGGAGACAGTGTCCCATGTCTTTCTGGGGGCAGGCCAGGCTTCAAGGAGTGGTGACCACTTCTCTGACTTCTCTTCTCCCTCTGGTCTTTCAGTGGTTGAACCAGAGCCACAACGCTTGTGTCAACTATGCAAACCGCAATGCTACCAAGGTGAGCACCACTGACCACCACCCAGTGGTGAGGTTCAGGTGGCGTGTCCCAGCTCCCCTCCCTACAGAGACATGGCGCCATCTGTGGCTGCCTCCTCTAGGTGGAGTGTTGCCCTCCTGGTGGATGCCTTCTTTAAAATACCAGCACTTTGGATGGGGGTAGTAGATTCAGGCTCTTCACTGAGGTCAGCAGGAGTCTCCAGGCAGAGGTCCTCACTGGGGAGGGACCATTTACTTGAAATCCAAAAGGCCCATTAAATGTAAATGTGGCCTGGGCAGTGCAAGGGATAAACTCTGCTGGCTTCAGAAATTGTGTTGGGCAGTTCTTATACCTGGATTGGATATTAGAGTTGATAAAATAAATGTCAGCAAAAACAAGGAGATCCCCCATGATTGACACAATAGCTGCAGCAGTAGACTCAAACATGCCAGTGATCATGGAGATGTGCAAATCCAGGTAACATTTCCCTCTGTTACATATAAGGTCACCATGCGTCAGAGCCCTCTGGAAGGCAACTAACAACACAACAAAGGCTCCAGGTTGTCAGCCGCCTGGGGGACTGAATTCCCTTAACACCTCCTCCAAGCCTGCCTAGAATGGCCTCCTTGATCCCAGCTCTCAGACTGCTAATCACACAACTCAAAGTCTCCTCCTGAGAGAAGAGGAATCTGACAGGCCCCCTGCACCTGGAATAAGCTCAGACTCTATTCAGTTACCCAGGAAGAAACTAGCAGAGCCTACTCTTCCCCTGGTCTATTTCCCCCAACTTCAACACCAAACCCAAAGGCAACACCAGAGGTCACATGATAGAATTTTATAAGCGATCAATGGATTACTCTGGTAGCATAGTGGTTATGAATCAGGCTGCTAACCTCAAGGTCGGCAGTTTGAAACTACCAGCTGTCCCACGGGAGAAAGATGAGGCTTTCTGCTCCCGTAAATATTTGCAGCCTCGGAAACCCTGTGCAGGTCCACTATAAGTTGGAACCGACTCCACGGTACTTAACGACAATAATGGATTACTCATTAGAAATACCATTTCTCAGCAACATAAATGACAACTATTCATGATGACCTGTTCACCAGTTATAATACACAGGAATCAATTTGACTACTTCTGTGGAAAGATATGATGGAGAAACTCCTCACTATCATCAGTTAGAAACAAGGCCTTGGACCAACTGCAGAGCAGACCATAAATTGTTCATATGCAAGTTCAAGTTGAAGCTGAAAAAAAAGTGAAACAAGTCCGCAAGAGCCAAAGTACAATCTTGAATAAATCGAACCTGAATTTAGAGACACTCTCAAGAATAAATTTGTTAGCTACCTAGTAGACAGCAAACTGTCCCTCATCTGATTATTCAGTAATGCTCGTTAGTAATCTCATACATGAGCCCTGGATATCCACAGACAA